TTTTGAGACAGTATCTCATTAAGTCGCTAAGTTGTTAAGGCTGGGGTTGTTGAATCTGCTATCCTCCTGCCTCCTATTTTTATGAATTTCAAGCCATTATAGAGAGATAATGTATTTCTTAGAGATTGATCAAGGTTAAGGACCATTTACAAAACATCTTTTTAAAAATTATTCAACAGCAGTGGATCATCTCTTAGTCTGCTTGGACAGTGATAATGAAATACCATAGGCCTAGTGGCTTAAATAAAGATTCATCCTTTCACAGTGTTTGGGATAATGCATAGCCTAACATCAAGGTTCTGGAATGGTACATTTTCCAGTGAAACATCTCTTCCTGGTCCTAAGAAGCAGACAGAGGATGAAAAAAAATAAAAATATTAATTCTTTCAGCTGTGTTTTATTTTCACGGTCGCATTTAATTTAACTGTTTGCACATTCCATCTCAAAACACTGCACAGCCACGTCAGGATGATTCACTGTATGGACAGGTGAGTGAGTAGGACCAATCCAATCCAGGGAAGGGTGCATGCTCATAGCAGGGCAGGGTTCTTGTCTCCACCAAGTACTGATAAAAAAGAAAAAAACGTAACAGAGTTAATGCTTGCAAATAATGGGATAAGTTAAAACTGCTACTATTTGTAATAAAAAACTCTTTTAGGAATATATAACTCAGGGCTAGTCAAATAGCTCAGCAGATTAAGCGCTTGCAAGCATGAGCAGGGTCCAGGGGGTTCAATTCCTGGGCCTGCTATGTTGGCCCCACCCCTGGGGTGTGCTGAGATGGCAATTGAGACTGGGCGTGGTGACACGCGCCTGTAATCCCAGCACTTGGGACACTGTAAACAGGCTGATCCCTATGAGTCAGATCTAATAGTGAGACCCTGAACACCCTGTAGACCCTTCCCTAAAGTTTAAAAAAAAAAAAAAAAGGAATATATAATATGAAAACTACAAATTGCTCATTTGAATGTTTGTGGATGGTTACTTGTACTCATTAATGTTTAAAACTTGCTTTTCAATTTGTCTGCTTTACTTTTTCAAAGTGAGAACTGATTCTTTTGTAGATTTTTATGGCAATTAATTAATATGCCTTATATAGGTAAAAATAAAACTTTTACAGGTTTGTGGTTCAGTTCATAGAAAATTAGACTGATGAAAAATGTGTACATTTCTAAGAAAACAAATGAGGACCAAACTCATTTGCATTCTTTTAATACAAAAGTCTTACTGTGTGTACCAAACAGTTTAACAGTATAGCCTAACAAGTCTCTTTATTATATTTTCTTTATGTTAGATCCAATGAGCATGTGGATAAAATGTTCTAACTAAGAATTATTTCATAGTAAATATGACAGTGGGCAAAGCAATCAGCCAGGAAGTCTTTGGAATTTACTGATGCAGTAGTTGTACTGTCCAGAGAAGAAAACAAGACGATGCAAACGTCGCATTTAATATAAAATGTTTTGGGATCTTCAGCTGATTTATATGAATTCTATTGCAGTGTCATATAACAGAAGGAAATTAAACTATTTTTAGGCTAATCCAAGAAGAAAAAGAATCTACGGAATTGCGTGCTGAAGAAATTGAGAACAGAGTGGCTAGCGTGAGCCTGGAAGGGCTGAATTTGGCGCGGGTCCACCCTGGCACGTCCATCACCGCCTCGGTCACCGCGTCGTCGCTGGCCAGCTCGTCCCCCCCGAGTGGACACTCGACGCCAAAGCTCACCCCGCGGAGTCCTGCCAGGGAAATGGATCGAATGGGAGTCATGACGCTGGTATGTGATGTGTGCGGAGAAAACCTTCCCTTCAGGATGCTCCCAGCAACAACCACAACAAAAAAAGAAGGGAAGGAAAAGAGGGAGGGAGGAAAGAAGGAAAGGAAGGGAGGAAGGAAGGAAGGAAGGAAGGAAGGAAGGAAGGAAGGAAGGAAGGAAGGAGGGAAGGAAGGAAGGAAGGAAAAATTAGCTAAAATTTATTTGTGTTTAATTCCAGTATGAAGACTGTGTGCATTTTAATTGTGTACTTTTCCCCCACAACAACCCTGTGTGGTTGGTACAATTATTAATCCACTATGACATGAGGGAAGGATAGACCACACAGGTAATTTCTCACAACCAAATGCTGAGTAAAATCTCTGGCTGGGACTTGCGTATCATTAAAGCATTTGAACAACTTGAAGAATTAAGTACATTTTTACTGATCAATTAATGAAATACATTTTAACTGGGTGGCTATTTATGTACTAATTACTAAAAATTATATGTTATTATTGCTTCAGTACATTCAGATATAACATTGCAATATCTCAATTTCCTAAGATCTATAATAGCACTACTTTCCCAATGTTTTTAGATTCCATGTCAATACTTTCACATGTATTCTTTAATTATTTTTCTCATTTATATCTGAAATTAAAACTGGGAAACCTATATTAGGAACTCTCTTGAATCAACTGAGAAAAAAATCCGAAGTGCTACCTGCTAAAAGTCCTATAAAAAAGCTCTTGGAAAGTGTGGCTCAGAAGACAACTGAAGGCATGACGTGTAGTTATTTAACGCCCCTGACAACACCAAAGTCAAAACACGTGGTGCCACCAGAGAGCAGAGATAGCTGTTGTGTTGAGAATATGAGCAAACTGCACATGTTGTGCCTGTCTGATGAATTCACCTGGAGTCTTCTTCAAATTTGTTGACCTCAAATCATATTCTGTTTTACTTTTTTTTCTGTCATTACTTGAAAATATGTTAACACGGCAGCAATGGTAAACATTAAAAATTTTTGAACTGCTTATGGTGCTGAACTTCAGTACAGCTTGAATGATGGTAAGACCATATTGTCTAAACAGTACAATGGCATTTAAAAATAAAACATATTTGGAGTAGAGAGTAATGAAAATACAAATAGTTAGATAACTTACTGTAAAATCGAGTGCAAGTATAATAGAGGGAGAAAAATTAGTGATGCCACACAAGGATATGAAGTATATACACGCATCAATATATGTGCATGTATATGTAATTTGTTTTTAGAAAGCTACAGAGCTGCCAAGGTGCACACTGCCCATCCATTTCTATGTGTGTATACATACAGACAGGCATATGCATGTACATATGTCTGAAATTTAATTCACTGTTATTAATTGCTCTAAAATAATATATAGTGTAAGCTTTTAAAACTCATTTGTGTATATGAGTGTGTATTATGCACATACACAATCATTCTTTCACCACAGGGAACAACTTTAATGAACAATGACTTTTTTGTATTTAAATATGTTAGTTCATCTTCACAAAATTTCTTTTATGTAGTTTAGGTGTCATTTTCTTTAATTTTACAATTGAGTATTAAAACTATGTGCGTATGATGGAGTAACATTTTCCACCTTCAAATTCTTTACTCTCTAGGATTTCCAAGTAGTAAGTTCTATGTGAAAGAAAACTTTACTTCATTAAACCAGTGGCTCTTGTGTTCTAATCCATAGACATATGTAACAATATCTAGTTGGAAGGTTGAGTGCAGTAAAAACAAACAAACAAACAAACAAAAAATCCTGCATCTCCCACTGACAAAAAAATGTACACAGTATAATGGAACAGACTAATGAAAATTGTTTTATTTATGCAAGAACAATGAACAATGATTGTAGATGTATTCACTTTGTTAAGTTAATCTTGAATGAGAAAAACAAATAACAAATTCTGTAAAAGAGAATTGATAAGAGAGCAGCATTCTTTGCTATGCTGAGGACAGAACCATTGACAAGGGGAATGAGGTCAGCTTGTCCAGAGGCTGGAGATTTCTCAGAGCTGCATGCTTGCCCGAAGATGGTCCAAAGCTGTCCAAGAATGGAGACAAAGGGAGGCTTTATAAACTCTCCACATGCACACTGGCTCTTCATTCTTGTCGCTGTTTTCTTGGGAGGGTGGTCTCGTGTTTGTTTTTGGTAGCTTACTCTAGCCAGACTCACTAGGTGCTTTCTATCCCCCAGGGTCCTCTCTAGTGTAAAATGCACATAGCCACTGCCCCATTAGAGTGACTTGATCGGCTTCACTTCAGGGAGGTTCTACCAGGATAAATGCTTTTAAAATGATTAAAAGACATATATTAGGGCCTGCAAGATAGCTCAGCAGATTAAGCGCCTGCTTAGGCAAGCACAGGGACTGGGGTTGGATCCATAACATGGCATGCCATGCCAGCCCCACCCCCAGGCTCACTGAGCTGACCACTGAGTCCAGGCATGGTAATGCACACCGCAAGTCCAAGCTATGTAGTGAGACCCTGTACCAAATACATGAAAAGAAAAAAAAGACATTTATTTAGGAAAGAATAAAATGAAAAAGGTGCCAACTGAATTATAGATACTATTTATATTTGTAAAATGGTCAAATGGTAATCATTAATTAGTTCTGTTTTATGTTGCTTTTATTGCTGCCATTCACAGCCAAGTGACCTAAGGAAACATCGGAGAAAGGTACTGTAAATATTTCTTACGTGATTACTACTGGAACATTGTCTTCTTACTATAGAAACCCTAAAATAATATTCCGACTAAAGTATTTTATTAACATAAAAAGAATTACTAAAGGTATTAACCTGTTATATTATTTATATATTTTATAAGTACAAAAGTCTCTCTCTCTATATATATGTGTGTGTGTGTGTGTGCGTATAAAAATACACACATATATGTGTGTGTATATATATATATATATATATATATATATATATATATTTGCTTTCAGAGGCAATGATTAGATGATGAGGACTAAGTATCTTGATAATCACTGATACAAAATATTGATGATAAAATTAGATATTTTTAAATATCAATACTAGAGTCCAGTTGCTTCTTTTAAAATGTTGGTATCATCATTAATCAGATTTGGTGAGTCCAACAGATCAAGAGAGACCTAGACAAGATACTAGTTTGTTACTCAGAGTTTCCAAGACCAAAGTCAGCAGGATGGACTATGTGGGCAGAAGCAGCATCTTCAGATAGTAGAACTTCACAAATACAGAAAACAAGGACACAGAGCAAAAACAACACTTTCCTCTTTACAGTGAAATCAAGATAGTGTATATGACATAAGGCAAGTACTGTGGACTCAAATGTGATTCACAGAAAGAGATATAGCTAGCTGAATGAAAGCAGCCATGGGTATCAGATGGAGGAAGATTTCTGAGATTCTACCTACTGTCTAATACAAAAATCCGGTTTTAGCAATTTCAGGACACAGTAATCAGTTTGTGCTGACATACTTCTGAAACCAGAGAACTTTTATTGTTATTATTATTATTATTATTATTATTATTATATGATTGAGGGAATCTATATTATGTTTCTATGGCCTAGATGGGTGGAATTTTCTTTTTCTTTTCCTATCATATTATTCACCTTCCTATAGAATCTTGTGACACTACCACTGAATTCTCAACCAAAAATTTATCATTATAAAACTGTTAGTCTTTGACAACACTATAGACAAAAGGGACTAGACAAAATCTACAAAATTAGAAAAAGTCCAGGTAGATGATATAAAAGAAAGTGAGCCCATATAAAATAAGAAGGTGCGATGGACAGGCCTGTTCAGAGACACAGTTTCATGGCATTTAGAGAGTAAAGTGGTGGCTAGAAAGAAACGTGTTGGAAAATTGAACACAAACTAAAAATCCCTGTCTATCAGGGAAAGAAGTTACATAATGATTTCATTTGTACTTCAAAAGAATGTATCAAGGTCACTCATTATTATTCCATTTTAATCGCTGATTCCAAAGTCTTTGTTCTGTCCCTTGTTTCTATACTGTGAGCTTTCATACTATTAAGAGAAAGAGTTTGTATCTTATGTTTTTAAGAGTTGATATTGGAAAGGATATAGCTTGGTCATCAGGAGGGAAAACAAAAGGTAGTTTAGAAGTTGATGTCTGAGGAGTATCCTTTTAAAAACAGAAGTGGTGTGGCTAGGTGAAGGAATCATAGAAAAGAATCCTGGTTAAACACAGAACCCTGAAAATTAATTCATTTTAGGATCAGCTCCGAAACATGTTTACATTTAGATGAATTTGGAATTTAAAAGGATCTTCTGTCATGTTGGAGTTACGCTGAAACCATTCCTGGAAAAAAAAAAAAAAAAAAAAAAAAAAAAGGCACCCATGGCCCAATGGTGGTTGAATGGAGAGAAGGACTCAGTAAGATGGCTCAGCTGCAGTAGTCATCTGGCCTGGGCGACCGGAGAACTGGCAAACAAGTTCATTAATTCCTCGATGCATGATATGTCTACCATATAGAGCTCATGTATGTATAATAGCTTTATGTGGAAACAAATAAGACATTTCTCCAGAATACAAGCTTTAAATTATTGCATTAGGTGCAACTGAGACAATTTTGGCGTCAGCACTGCCAGAGACCCATCATTTAGCTCTGCTTTCTGTCTCTTGGTTTTCTCTGTACCTTGTAATATAAAATGATGCCATTAAAATGCAGAATGTGAAGTGTTTCTCTACGATTAACTTAATACCTAGAAAGTTACTTTGTTGTTGTTGTGGGTATTGGTGGACTTGTGAGCTGTGCTGGATTCTGAATTTGATTCAAAATGTTCTTTAACATTTGATGTTATCTCTGGTTGGCTGTAGTATCTTTATCCATGTTCCCATCTCTAGGAGTGAAGTGAAACAGTTTTCCACAATTATGCTCTAAACTTCTATTATTCTCAAATGAAAGCGGTTTTAATAAACCGGTACTTTTAAAAATATTCTTGAAATGCATTTTACTAGACTAATTTAAATCCTTTGTTGATTAAATTATATTTTGTCAATTATATTTTGTCTTCTCATTTTAAGACTCCTCATTTAAAAGCTTTCCTCGTTAGGATCCATTGATTATGCACGACGCTCTGTTTTTCTTTAGTCGATTTACAGATTTGCTCAAATATGTGTTCAGTGTCTTTGCATGAAAAGTATATTTTGTGATAAGGTAATATGGATCCCAGAATAGTTTTTCACAGTCGCTCCAAATTGATTTATAATATGACTTTTGCACAGTATTTTTATGTGGTGGGTCCATAAATTTTTAATTGTAATGTCTTCACTGTCAATTGTTCTGAAAATCATAGTCTTCTATAATATGGACTTGTATATATAATGCATGCATATTCCATGACTTTGTGTTAAAATTACACATAGAGTTTTGCCTTGATTTCTGTCAATTTTAGTTGGCGTTTAGAAATAGTTCACAAGAATACATTCTCATTTGCTTTTAGATTGCAGTGGTAGAAGAAGATGGTCGGGAGGATAAAGCAACAATTAAATGTGAAACTTCTCCTCCCCCCACGCCCAGAGCTATCAGGATGACCCACACCCTACCCTCTTCCTACCACAACGATGCCAGAAGGTAAGAACACCTGAGCATGTCAGATGCTTTCCTGCTAAACTTTCCTTTTCCTTCAGTGTTGTCAAGTAGACTGCAATAAAATTTCTATAAAATCCAGTTTGACTCAAAATTTTCCATCAAGGTATTGGCCTGCTGTTTCTTTTTAATATCTCTTGTGAAATAAGAAAATTTCCATTTTGAGATGAAAGGTTTTTTTTTTTTTTAATGAGTGATCTATGTGTGTTCTTCTGACTATTCAGTATATAAAATAAGCTATAAGAATAGCTCTTTTTTTTTTTGTATTTTAGGACGGGTCTACAGGGTGTTCAGGGTCTCACTACTAGGTTGGATTTGTAGTGATCCATCTGTTTACAGCCTCCCAAGAACTGGGATTACAGGAGCATACCACCATGCCCAGTCTCCCTCTCAGCATGCCCCAGGGGCGGGGCTGGCACAGTAGTCCCAGGGATTGAAACTGCAGCCCCTGCTCCTGCTTGCAGGCACTTTAATCCCCTGAGCTATTTGGCTGGCCCTAGCTCTTCTGTTTTAACAGGCATTCCTTATCCAATGAGATTGGATTAAATGAAGAATTTAGGAATAATAACAAAAAACTAGAGAGAGTCTCAGACTATGGTAAAAGTTTGGATCATAGTCTAAGAATAATGAAGGTCTGAAAGCTAGTCCCCATGCTTCCTTTGTGCTGCTAAGCCAATGGCTGCATGTGTACATGCTGCGCTGACTGGTGATAGCATTGCCCTAAACTAAACATTCTTAAAACAGCACACTGGCCAAAATGTCAAAGGAAAAGACAGGCTGGGAAATAGCTTACCGGTCACAGTGACTCTTCATGCTGTCTTCTCTATACACCTACGAAGCTGCAAGTGGGTCTCCGTAACAAAAGATATAAGTAAATCATAGCATGTAGTCTACATCTTAAAAATGTCTTCTTAGTATCATATAAGTTGCTACATTTCCTAACCTTCAGTTGCTACCCATACGGGCCTAATGCACAGAAAAGACACGGGCAATTATGTGAAAACGTTCCTTCTGTTGAAACTGAGGTGATTTTGTGAGAAAGCAAAAAGTGAAGATTCCATTCAAACCCCAATAAACTTCTGTATTCAAAAAACAGTTGCTATATTTCTAGATACCAACATAACAACTTGATGATCAATGACTTCTATAAAGCCTATTTTATAAATATATTTTATAACAAATATATTTTGAAAATAGGGCTTTCTTTGTCATGGGTTTTAAAAATTAACTGCCATTGTTTATTTGAAAAAAAGGTTCAAAAATATATTTCTTTTGCTCTGCTAGAAAAAGTGAATTACAACATTTGCAGAGCTTTGAAAAGAGAACATGAATTTTAATTAACTAGGATATAAAAGCAACTATATTCTATCATAACATATTATTAATATTATAGTAATATATTACAAATTTACAGTTGTAAAAATTTATAATAATATGTGTTGGAGGTCTAGAAAGAAAGTTCAGTGGACTAAGCACCTGCTTAGGCAAGTGCAGGGACTGGGGTTTGATCCCTGGCACCACGTGCCACACTGCCACTCCCACCTCCAGGCACACTGAGCCAGCCAGTGAGACCTAGCCTGGTGGCCCATGCCTATAATCCTAGCACTGAGGAAGCTGAAAGCTATGAGTCTAAGCTGCATAGTGAGACTCTGTACCAAATACATTAAAAACAGAACAAAACAATATGTCTTAGGCGCTAATATCATATTAAATATGACCAGAAATTGAATCTAGACCAATTATCCAATTCAGTGTACCATGGATATCACTTCAGTTCATCATGCATCTGGAAAAATACTTGAAAAACATAAGAAAAAATATATAGTGATCACTAGGGAGCAATTCCAGAATAAATGAATTAGTCTCTGAATGTGAGGTAGAGAATGTCGAGAAAAATCCATAGAATGATTCATGTGAATAACAGCTTCAACTTTACAATAACTGGCTAGCCTAGGTTATTGTACATATAGTTAGAAAGCTAAACTCTGAGAAATAATTAATGGGAAAAACGCACCCTTTTCCCTTGTTGGTGAAAATGCAAACTAGTACAAATACTAGTGAAATCAGTATAGCGATTCCTTAAAAAGTTATAAATAGAAACCCACTTAGCCCAGCTATGATGTCTATCAGCAGATGAATGGATAATGAGAAAGTGGCACTTAGAAATAGTTGAGTATTGCTCTGCATAGGAAGGACAGACTTGAGTCATTTGGAGGAAAATGGGCCGACCTGAGACCATAATGTTCAGTGAAGTAAATCAGACACCAAGCCTAAATATCGCATGGTTTCAGGAAGGAAGGAGCAAGAGTTGCAAAAATAATTGACATGTGATATGTACATATGCCAACCCCACAAAAAATGTAATCAGGATGTACTGCAAACATGTACAGGTTAATAAAAAATAAAATTAAAAAAAGAAAAGAATGAACTCAGGGATAATAAAAGGACGCCTAATATGGAGTTCTTAATCGGGCCCTTGTCCATTGATTATTTTGACATTATCCAAGGAATAAAGAGGGTGGGGCAGAAGAAGGAAATGAACATGCACACGCAGAACAATGAACATGCGGAGTGGCATGTGGTGCCAGGGATCAAACCCCAGTCCCCGCACTTGCCTAAGCAGGTGCTTAGTCCACTGAACTATCTTGCTAGACCTCCAACACATATTGTTGTAAGTTTTTACAATTGTAAATTTGTAATATATTATTATAATATTAATGATATGTTATAATATAATATATTTGCTTTTACATCCTACTTAATTAAAGTTCACGCTCTCTAATTCCCAAGCTTGGCAAATATTTTGCAAGTGACAAGGAAATGAAAGAAAGGAAATTGAAACTAGAAAGACTGAAAATTTGCAGAAGGAGGGTCAGGCCAAAATAACTACATTTCAGTATCTTTAAGAGAAAACATAAAAATAAAGGGAGGCAATGACACTCAAACTCTACTTGTTCCTCCTACTGTACATTTATAAAGGAAACAAGTCTTGTGTGCCTCGTGGACATTGCATCAAAACTAGCAGTTTGTCCCCCTTTGTGTTTGCAGTAGTTTATCTGCCTCTCTTGAGCCAGAAAGCCTTGGGCTGGGAAGTGCCAACAGCAGCCAGGATTCTCTGCACAAAGCCCCCAAGAAGAAAGGAATCAAGTCTTCAATAGGACGCTTGTTTGGTAAAAAAGAGAAAGCTCGGCTCGGGCAGCTCCGTGAGTACGCATGCGCTGCTTTTGTCGCTTCTGCAGGGCTCTGTATTTCATTTCATATCACGTCACTTCATTTCTTCTTTCTTATCTGATGAACATATTTAAACAACTTGATAAATCAAATTTAACTGAGTAATACTAAATAAAAATTACAGTAAAAAATTTATAATATGCTCATTGAACTTTTCCGTTGATATGAATAGCTAGAATTTATTTAATACTAATTATTGTGACAAGCACAATCATCCTATGAGACAAGTGTAATTACTGTCATCTCTATTTTATTGGTGAGTAAACAACGTCTCCTTGCTTTGGGAGAACTGTGATATTCATCCTGATACTAGTGTTTCAAAATCAACTCAAAACCATTGAGTAAGCTGCCACTTGGGACATACCTGTGTATAAAAGCCATTATGTGAATTTGAAACCAAAATGTTGAAAAAGGTGAAAAGCTTAATGAAATCCAATAGAAAATTTTAAAGTCAAACTGCGCTGGCCTTGCCCCCAGGTGCACTGAGCCAGCCACCGAGTCCGGACGTGGTGGCGTGTACCTGTAATCCCAGCACTAGGAAGGCGGAAAACAGGAGGATCACTATGAGTTCAAGCTGCGTAGTGAGACCCTGAACCAAATACACTTAAAAAAGGGAGAAAATTTTAAAATCAAAATAAAGTGTTACGATAAATAGTATTTAAAATATAAAGAGTAAGGTGTCTTTGTCTAAAGCCATCACGTTCTTCTCTTAATAAACTCCATGAAGTGAGGGGCACCTTTTCATGGTAGAGATTGCACTAGACTGAGCTACTATCTGTGACTGAATGAAATATAGATAAGTACATTCGAAATACCTCTAAGAATAACTTTATAAAAAGATACATACAAGCACACATAAATGTTTATGTACAATACCTGAAATGAGAAAATAATACATAATGTTTGTGACTTAATGATTTTTAAAAATTCAGTGATACACAGTTGACTCTCTTGAGGGGGGAATGCTCCTATATATTTACTTTTCAAATTATTTTGAGAAGATTGAGCTTTTCCTTCCAATGGTAAGTGGAATGATATGAATTTCTACGTACTTCCTTGGAATCATCAAGTAAAGAAATAATCACTTACAAGTAATCCTTCAATATTCAAATTAGCTTCTTACTATTTTCTGAATGTTTTTCTGCTTGTGGATTTATAGCTGCAATATTATTCGGAAATCCCTTTCTGACACCCACAGTTGGAACCCCACAAAGGATAAAAAGCTGTGAGAAAATGATGTACAGCCCTATGTTGGACAGCAGCAGCATCAGAGCCTCTTATAACTTCTATTTCTGAGGAGAGAGCCTTCTTAGGCTATTACAATTTTTGTATGAGGAATGAAGAGAGAAGAGCTGACTATTTTTATATAAGATATACATGCCAGATATTACAGTTTGTTTTATCTACTTTAACATTGGTTATAGTCTTTGCCAAATTATTTTTCATTTCTAGTGTATTATAGTACAATTCACACTAGTGTAGTTGGCTAATTATTCCATAATTTATTCTTTTGAAATATATCTAATTGTTTCACTTAGATTTTTCTCCTTTTCACTTTATATTAAAATTTGTTAAGGAATTCTCAAAAAATATTTTCTCATAGCCAAAGTATAACGTAAAGTTTAGAAAATGTTAAGGTTCCTACAAACCTAGTGCTATTTTCCTATTTTCAGTGTCTGTGTGTGTGTGTGTCTCTCTCTTTTGTTTTTCTTTTTCATGTGTTTAGTACAGGGTCTATAGGGTCTCACTATGTAGATCGGACTTGAGTGATTCTCCTGTTTTCAGCTCCCGAGCGCTGGGATTACAGGCACGCACCACCACACCCAGTCTCAATTGCCATCTCAGCACACCCTAGGGGCAAGGCTAGCCCAGCACGCCAGGGATCAAACTGGCCGTTGTATCTGCCTAAGCAGGAGCATTAGTCCACTGAGCTATCTTGCTGGCCCTGAGTGTCTGTGTGTCTTGAGATCAGAACTGACAAAACTGAAATCTCTTATAACTCCATCTTTCCCAATCCCACCAAAGTTGGAAACAAGACGGGATCACATTACAAACTTCAGAAGATTCCTGAGCCCTGAGCCATTTTTGTTTTGCTTCATAGAATGATAGAAGGAGGACGTAAAAAAATCCAGACTCTGCAGCACAGTAAGAACCAAAATACTGATGAGGAAGCCGAGGACAGAAGCTGTACCTAGGAAGCTTTATAGGGATTGTATATATGATAAATCAATGACTCTGGAGAAATCAAGAATAAAACGTTTGTGTTGGAAATACATTTGGGAATATAAAAAAGATGCAAATGGGGTAGGCTCCTAGAAACGATATCCGTACTGGGAGAAAGCAGTACAGAGTAAATTTGGGATGAGAGAAAGGGATGGTAGGGATACTTTGCTCTGGAAGGCATGCCAGATACTCACAAAAATCCCCCTACAACTTTCCAATCCCAGGAACTATAACCCAGTGCTACTGATCCATGCAGCAGAATAATCCAAGGGAACATAACCAGGAATTTCAATTTTAATATCTTGATCTCAGGGTTTCAAAGACATAGGAATACTGCCAGTGTTCTTTCTTCTACAATAAAAATAGAAATAATAAGAAAAAATGACATCAAAAATAAAGTAAAGGGGCCGGGGAGATAGCTCAGTAGAATAAGCGCTTGCGCAGCAAGTGGAAGGGCCTAGTTCAATCCCCGGTTCTGAAAAAAAAAAAAAAAAAAAGAATGAGTATGCATTTGTTTTTCTAATCAAAGCATTTAAAATCAATTTTAAAGTACTATGCAGGAAAGAAAGAAATGCATATCCAAGCCTATCTGAATTCCACAGTTGAACTTAGAAAAAGTCTCCTAGTGTGCAATATTAACTTCTGACTTACTTGAGAATATGGTTTTAATTTTTCTTCCTTTTATCTTAATTTTCATTTTCTCTGTGCCTCTCAACTTCCATGCTGAAAAGTTATACAAATAGGTTCTATAATTTCATTGAAGGATCTAAAAACAATGGTTTTATTACTCCTGGTATCTTTCTTGAAAAAATCCGGAATATAACCGCATCTTGTTAGCACTTTGCATGTCCAGTGACCCTGAACTACCACACCACTGACTTATACATCCAGAGGCAATGCATAACTCATATTTCTATTAGTGATCAATAGTCATATTCTTTAAAATATAAATTTCTAATATATATTTTAAAAGTCATCATTTGATCCTGTCGTCATCTCCAGAGAGTGACTTATCTTTCTTCTCTCCTTATCCTTATCATTTTAGATTCAGTGAATTATCCACACTTTTTGGGGGGAAGGGGAGGTTTATCTGTTAAATGTTTGACACCATCGTTCCTACACTTCACTACAAAACTCTCCAAGCAAGTTCAATCCTAATACAGAAGTTTGTTTGACAAAGAAGGCTGGATACAAACTAAACAATTTAAGAGAGTGGTAATATGCTCAGCATCATATTTTATGATCAGGTGAATTTAAGAAGGAAACAATATAAATGAAATGACATTTCTCCACCAAAAACATTTTAAAACACTTTGTTGTGAAAGTTAGAAAGACAAACATACACATTATAGGTTCATGAAAATGGTGCAGATGTATAAAGCCATGCTAAGAATTCGTCAAAATAAACTTATAATGGGAAATACTGGCCACGTTGAAAGGAAAATTATAAAATAATTTTTAGAAAAGAGGAATAAATAAGAAAGCATTAAAGCCCAAACAACATAAGGACATTTTGAGGGTAAAATGAAAAGAATGAGTAATCCAAAAATCATTTACTTATTCCTCCTTTGAATAAAAACCATTGAGCATGGGTTAAGTACAGTGTACCAACCATGAACTTTAGGAAGATGGCTGAAGCATGGCTGTTGACATAAAGAAGGTTTAGTAAGATGTATGACCTGTACAGATACAAAACATCTACATTTAAAATAAAACAAAAGACTGGAATATTTCTGTCTCAGAAAAATTTTTCTTCTGCGTTATCTGTCCTGTCAGGACCAGCGGTTTTGAGCCCTAATATCAGTGATTATGCATAAGTAATTGAAATCCTAACCAGCTTGACTTTTAGTTTGTCTGAAGGCATTAACCTACTTTGAAACCAAGAAAATAAGCTATGCTAAAAATAACCATGTCAGACTAAGCTCTTTTGTTTCCTTGACAAAGTTACTCAGAAAATGATTAGCAAAAGCAGCCGCAAACTGTGACTCAGAAAAAATGTCAAGTGTGTCTGACTGGTGGAAGAATTATGCAGAATTTATAACTGCTTAAGTAAGCTTTGCCTTACAGCATTGATAAGTGGAGTGACATCAACTCCAAGCTTTGAGCAAGAAGCCTAGGACTCCTATCTTTTGTCCACACAGTTACCAGTCCCTGGACGTAAGCATTTCAACAGTGCAAGTATCAGGAAATAGATTACTGAAATGGTTGGGAATCATAAGAGAGAAAATTAAGATTACCTCCAAAGGCTATGTAAAAAAGTGAGGTAAGGAGAATCCTAAGTAATCCCATCTAAAAGTAGAGTTCCTGGGAGGATTTTTCAATAAAAGGAAGTTTTTGGTTTCATCTGACTCTACAGTCACTATGATCAATAAATTTGCATCAATTTTGTAGCTCCAAGCACTATAGGAGATGAAAACAACTTTTCCATTTTACCATGCCATAGTAAGATAATAATGCAAAGATATCCACTATGATTACTTTTTTTTTTTGCGGAACCAGGGATTGAACTCAGGCCCTCGTGCTTGCCAGGCAAGTGCTTATTCTACTGAGCTATCTCGCTGGCCCCAGATTACTACACTTTTAGAAGTATTTGTTACCTTGGAGACAGGCTGGAGGATAGTATCAGGCTTAGTGGAGTACTGAAATCTGTGAGGTACGGATAGATAAATGGACACATTAATTCCTCTTGTCTACCAACCAGGTTCCAAAAATTTAAAGAAATTCTCTGTCGAAGAAGTATTAGTCCTCT